GAGTGAAAGTAAGAAAGTAAGCCTCCAGGTCCGGGACTCAAACTGTAATCAGCCATGTGGGAAGTTTAGTGCCTTAACCACCATTCCACCCACTGGTCCCAAATTTATATTGTTTTAAGCCACCCTATTTGTGGCAATTTGTTGTCAACCCTAGGAAACTAATATATGAGAGAAGCCAAGAGAAGGGAGTTTAAGTTTGTGGAATGACTATTTGCCAGGCGTTGTGAGAGGTGCTTACTGGGGACCCGATCTTGCGAGAAATACAGGCTTGGATGCTTTCCAATACACTGTATAAGGAAGAGGCATAGAAGAAGCTCTGACGGAGAATAGCTCCTTCTCTGTGTGTCCTGGGCTTATCCCACCAATCGAGTGAGCCCAATTCCTCATATGTGAATGAGAGGTAAGACTATATGAACTCCAATATCTCGCCAAGCCTGACCTTCGTTGAAGGGAAACTTGGTAGGTTAAATCTGAAATGAAGCATAAGGCTATCCAACAGACAGAACTATCAATATTCTTGTTTACAGAAAACCCTTGAGAGCCAGAGTTAAACCTAAACTGGGAAAACTTCCAGAAGTTAGGAAGTAAGATGAACTGTTTGGGGACAAATACTGTTGAGTTTTTATTAACCAAAGAGAACTGAATTCCCAGTCTTCTGAAGATAATTCCCCAAATATCACCACAGCCCTGATTCTTGTCAATAAACATCACCTTCTCCTTCATAGATAGCATAGGTCCCATTTTTAGTTGTTGGAACCTGAAAGCCTGGAATTAAAAGGAAATATAGTTTAAGGATAGAATGTTCACACCTAGTAATATGGCAAATTTGAAAAATCTGAAAACCATGCCACTCCCACAAACAAATATCTTATTAAATTCATGGCTAATGTCCCGTCAGAAAGTAGGAGGAATTCCAAGAGACAAAAAGAAAAGGAGGAGGAAGTAAAGGAGGATGAGAAGGATAAGGGGAGAAAGCTGAAAATGGAACTGACAAGTGACAAGTGTCATGATGTCTATAGGGTATTAGAGCGAGGGTGATAATCTTACCAACCAAGAGGCTTGGGGTTTTGTCTGTTTGTTTGTTTTTTGGTTTTTTTGTTTTTTGGGTTTTTTTTGGTTTTTCTTTTTTTTTTGGTTTTTTTGAGAGGTTTTTTCGCTATAGGGCGCGTGTGATCGCCAGACAGACAGAGAGAGACAGAGAGACAGAAAGCGAGAAATCACCCCCCAGGAGGAATGGTCATGCCGCAATCCCTTCTCCTCCATTCTTCTCTCGGGATCTTGGGCACGCACGCACACAGGCCCGGCGTGAGTTTTAAGCCACCGGGTCCGGGACGCAAACCGCGGTCGACTACATGGGAGTCCAGCGACATAGCCATTACGCTAACTGCTGGTTCCCCGAGGCTTGGGTTTTAAGAACTCCAGTGGAGATGGAAAGCAGGCTTTGATATGCATAATGTGGTGAGGCAGAACCTAAGATCCTCTTATGAAGCTGGTACCCTTGAAGAATTATATCTTCAATGAGAAAGTTAACAAATAAAAAGTTTACTCTGAGAAACAGAGAAACGAAGTTCATTTCCTTGGTCTGGGCTCTGGATAGGAGGGGATTAAAAAATCCCCTGAAAATCTGTAGTGGTGGGAAACCCATGTAGGTTTAATATTCTGATGTATACTTCTTATAAGATTCAGTTAGCGTAATGGCTAGGTCACTGGACTCCCATGTAGTCAACCACAGTTCGCGTCCCGGACCCAGTAGCTTAAAACTCACACCGGGCGCGTGTGCGTGCGTGCCCAATATCGCAAGAGGAGAATGGAGGAGAAGGGATTGCAGCGTGACCATCCCCCCGGGGCTTTCTGTCTCTCTGTCTCTCTCTATCTGTCTGGCGAGCGCACGCGCCCTATCTCTGTACTGAAAAATAACATAAAACCTTTGTAAAAATGAGCTCACCATCCAAAATTATAAAATAAAGGAAATAACACACTAAAAGCAAGAATCAGCATACACAAAAATTGCAGGACTAGAGCTCCAAAAACTTCAGATAACAAAATGTTTATATAGAAGTTACAGGGAACCAGCAGTTAGCGTACTGGCTATGTCACTGGACTCCCACGTAGTCGACCGCGGTTCGCATCCCGGACCTGGTGGCTTAAAACCCACGCCGGACGCATGTGCGTGCGTGCCCAAGATCCCAAGAGGAGAATGGAAGAGAAGGTATTGTGGCATGGCCATCCCCTCTAGGGGGTGATTTCTCGCTTTCTGTCTCTCTGTCTCTCTCTGTCTGTCTGGCGAGCTCATGTGCTCTATAGCAAAAAATCTCTCTCTCAAAAAAAAAAAAAACAAGAAGTTACAAACATACATTTAAAATTATTGTTATATATCAGAAATTGAAACATGGCGAAAGAACTAGACAATAAAAACAAAGCAGTAGGAAAAAGCCACATTTACCTTCTAAAAGTACAGAAACAGTCAATAAAAAAGAAACATCTCAATTAATGAGTTAAACATCATTGGTAGACTAGACAGACTTAAGAATCAGTGAATTAAAAGATCTACATAGTGATGTGCTGAGAAGTCAGTTCTGAATTATAGCATTTACTGATTTCCATGGTATAAATACTCATGCCATCACAAATTTCAAGCTTCCAACATGACATTACTGAATGTGGAATTGGGAAGAGATGCACACAACTGGTTCTCTCAACCAGCATGAGTATACACAATATAAGCAAACCACCCAAAAAGTAGCACAGAATGATAAAAAGATATAAAAATAAAGAGGAAAAGAGAATGAAATAAAAATATCCAACATCCGTCTAATAATTTCAGAGGTAGAAAAAAAAGAGACTGAAATTTTTCTAAATCTGATGAAATGGAGAAATCATCAGATTCAGTAATCACAATAAGTACCAAGCACAATAATAATAATAAGACCCACACCTAAACACAACATAAAGAAATTTCAGAATATCAAAAACATAAAAGTGACCTATACACAATAATAGAAGACATATTATTGACAAAGAAATAACATTTAGACTGACAACAGACTTCTCAACAGAAACAATGAAATAGCATCCTTAAAGTATTGTGTAAAATAACTAGAACTAAATAACTAGAACTTAATTCTAGAATTCTGTACCCAGCTAAAATATCATACAAGAATAAGAGAGTCTGTTTCAATTGTCGCTACAAGGCTTTTAATTTAAAAAACTACTAAAGGCTGTTTGTTAGGTAAATGTAAGTTGAACCCAGAAGAAAGGAAAATTTATGGGCAAATAATCTTTTAAAGATAAAGACATCACCAATTACGTAAAACTATAATGGTTACACCAAATATTAAGTCATCAAAAAAGTCATGACATATTTTTCTATGCAAAAATTGGATTTCTGACAATCCAATAATAATGCCAAATTTAATGCCATCTCCTCTTAGGATTTTGGGCACACAGGTACACACTCCTGGCATATTTTTCAAGCCACCAGATCCAGGACTTGAACTGCACAGTCAGTCATGTGGGCTCTAGCATCTTCATCACCATGCAACCAACTGGCCCTAAATATCACTATTATTATTATTAAATATTAGCATGATCTTTTCTGTCTCCTCACTGTAAATTTTTATCTCTTTTCATGCATTTTATATTAAATGTTGTTGATATATTTGAGTTTATATTTATCATCTTATTTTGTGCTTCTACTATTATTTCTTTTTCTAAGCTACTTCTTTCCCTCCTACCCTTACTGCTTCTTCTATCTTGTTTAAGAATTTCCTTGGGAACCAGCAGTTAGCATAATGGCTATGTCGCTGGACTCCCATGTAGTCGACCGCGGCTCGTGTCCCGGACCCAGTGGCTTAAAACTCACGCTGGGTGCGTGTGTGTGCATGCCCAAGATCCCGAGAGGAGAATGGAGAAGGGATTGCGGCATGGCCATCCCCCCTGGGGGGTTATTTCTCGCTTTCTGTCTCTCTGTCTCTCTCTGTCTATCTGGCGAGTGCACACGCCCTATAGCGAAAACTTCTCAGAAAAAAAAAAAAAAAAGAATTTCCTGTGGAGCTAGCTATGTGGGATCCAGTCACTTAACCTCCATGCCACCTGCTGGCCCCATTTTGAAATTTTAAACATAGTGGCCAGGATTGATGGCAATGGCAACTTTCAATTCTAAATGGAAGTTAGCAAATTCATAGAATGAAACAAAAATGAAACTATGTTATATATATCAAAATTGGTTTTGTGCAGCTAACATGGTATCTAAAGGAAAATTTATAGCCATAAGATAGATAAATGATAGCTAGATAGATGGTGGATAGATAGATGATAGATAGAGAGATAGATAGATAGATAGATAGATAGATAGATAGATATAGATGATAGATAGATAGATATAATAAAAAGTTTGAGAAATCGGTGCTAAAGAAGACAAAAACAAATGGTCTCACTATTTCCCAACACAGTATAATTCAATTAAAGGGACAATCAACTGTTTCTCTACACAGTTGAGTCATAAAGAAGTAGAATAATATATACGAATGTTCACGAACATCTTTTGCTAAGGAGCATCACTAATTGAATGTTTATGTAATTAGAATTATGGTTTTCACATTACCTACAATATGTTCTATTGCTCATGAATGCACACATACATATACATCAAGTGGCCTTTCAGAACAGTCTGGAAGTATGTTCTGTATAGATTTTATCCATTCCATTGTAGCAGGCTCAGGAGGGTCTACTCATGCCATCCAGCATGTACCCATCACCTACCACATGTAAGCTGCTATGGGGAATTCAAAATTGAACAAAGTCAAGTTTGAGGAGCTTCATGATCTGGCTTGGCCAGAAGTCTAGGCATTGAGATAGAGGGCTAAAAGAGAAGGCTGGCAAGGTGAGGTGAGGTCACAGCCAGACTTGAATGCCTAGGGAGGAGTTTAGTAAAGTTCTGTGAACTAGGATGTAAGAAGCATAATCACACTTTAGGGAAATAGTATCCCAGGAAATCTTACCTTCCTGGGTTCTAAAGTCATCTTCAGCGAAGATGTTCAAGTTTCCACACAGCCCACAGGTCTTGTTGAAGAATCGGTCTGACAGCAGGACTTGAAAGTTGCCGTTGCCATCGATTCTGGCCACAAAGCCATAGGCCTCACTGGACAGCTTGTAGTACCCAGCTTCAGTTTCCAGATACAGCCCTTGGGAGGCGTAGGGCAGGGAGACTCTAGAGGGCAAAGGAGAAGCTCAGAATTGGACTTCTCAGGGCCAGCAGGTAGTGGGGTGGTTAAGGGCACTGGACTCCCACATGGCTGATCACAGTTCAAGTCCTGGACCTGACAGCTTGCTTTCTCACTTTCTCTCTCTTTCGCTTTCTCTCACTCTGTCCCTCAGGTCAAAATAAAAAGCAAATAAATAAAGTTAGATAAAATAATTCTTTTTTTAAAAATTGGACTTCTCATGCATCTTCTGGATGTCCCTCCCACCTTTCAGCCCCAACCCCATGTTATGTGGTTCAGAACGCCATGCTACAAAGCACCCCAGGGCCTCAACTAGCAGGCAGGAGACACGACCCTCACTTTCTCTGGGCACATGCACTTCCTCTCTCTGGGCTCCAGCTTCTGAGAGTGGTCTGAGGGGATCCCCAGGGTATTTTCTAACATGGACATTCTGAGCTTCTGGCTTACCTCTGGTCCCCTTGTATCACGGAACCATTGACAAACAGGTGGATATCAAAAAATTCCCCAAGATACACAGAGAGGCTCACTCTCTTGCCACTTTGGAAGTCCCCTGAAAGAGAAGCATTCATAGTAGTTATCATTACCAAAAAAGAAGACAGCAAATTTATTTTAATAATCATTATCTCAGGACCAGCAGTTGGCGTAATGGCTATGTTGCTGGACTCCCATATAGTCAACCGTGGTGCCCAAGATCCCAAGAGGAGAATGGAGGAGAAGGGATTGCGGGATGGCCATCCCCCCTGGGGGGGGTGATTTCTCGCTTTCTGTCTCTCTGTCTCTCTCTGTCTTTCTGGCGAGCACACACACCCTATAGAAAAAAAATCTCAAAAAAAAAAACATTATCTCTACAATCTTATCTCAGTGGGAAACCTACTCAAAAGACTTAACCAATGTGCAAGAAAAATCTCCCTACAAATATCATTTACTCAGTCATCTTTCCATTCATCTAAAAATATTTATCGAAGCCTTCTGAGTACATAGCCCTCAGGTAGGCTATTTTATTTCACAAAAGAAAAATTGTAAAAGCCTGATCTCTTCCTTCTAGAAGTTTACAATGTAGGTATAAACATCAGAAATGCACGCGGCATTGAATACACTGTTAGGCAGTGACTAAAAGCAATGCTATAAGTTATTGGTAACAGTATCCCAGGATAGGATTATTTAAAATGTTATCTTAGGACAGGCCATGGGTTGTTTAAAATGGAGCTGTAGGGGCCAGGTGGTGGCACAGTGATAAAGCAACTGGGAAAGTTCCTAGGTTCATGTCTAGGGACCTCCCTGAGCATGCCAGGATAATGTGCACATGCCCACAGTCTGGGCCGGCTGAGATTGGGAGAGGATCATGGCGAGAGGACCCTGATGGGGGGTGCCTGTCTCTTCAGAGGAAGATTCTTGAGTTCCACCTCAGTTTACTGAATTTGATTTTCTAGGAGAAGTTCAGGAGTAGTGTAGATAAAGTGCCTCACACAGTGACCCAATGAGGACTCCATAAATGATCGATATTGCCCTTGCAGATGTTGAAATAGCCGACGACATCATAAAATAGTCCCTGACACTGGTCCTGCCGTGCAGGGTGAACATGGAGACAGGGGAGATGGCAGTTGGCATGAAAGAGTAACAACAGGCCAGGGACATTTGAGGCAACATTAGCGAGGCTTAACCATCTGCAGCCGTCCTGGGAACTGCTCCCCAAGCCCAGCCCTGGGTACTCAAAGGCAGCTGATTGGTCCTAGGAAACAAGGCAGCCAGAAGCACAATGGAGAGTCTGAGTCTCAAACATTGGAGTCTGAGAAACAGACAGACACAGAGATGAGGAGCACCATTGAGGACAGAGCGGCCGAATGTGGGGTACTGCTGCTCAGGAGTGCTGAAGGAATAGGGGCATAGGCACATGGAAAGGTTAGCCTTGGAAATTAGGACGTTTTTCTCTTCCTAGGAGGGGTGGGGAAGTGGGGGCTCCAAATCCTGAGCAGATACCATAAAGCTGTTGGTGGAAAGCCCCGGGAGCTCAGGAGCACTGCTGACTTGTTCTGCAGCCATAGCCAGCATCCCAATGAAAGGAGCCAAGGAGGAGGTCTTCGGCTAGGTTCCTGAGCTGGACCAACGCTGCTGGAAGCTAATGACCACCTGGTGCACTCACACATAAACGCACACGCACACACACACACATGCCCGCACTCTTGACCAACCAGAATGAACCAGAAAATAGGCTTGTTTCCAGTGAGATTTCAGTGAGGGCAGTCCCAGGCAAGTAACTAGTCCTGCCTGAGACTAGAATCTTGGGGCCAGCAGGTGGCATAGTGGCTAAGACGCTGGACTGCCACATGGCCAACCATGGTTTGGGTCTGGACCCAATGGTTTGAAAATCACACTGGATATGAGTGTGTATGTGTGTGTGTGTGTGTGTGTGTGTGTGTGTGTGCTTAAAATCCTGAGATTTAGCTGTAGGTCATTAAGCCTCGCTAATGTTGCCCCAAATGTCCCTGGCCTGGAGGAGACTGGAGAAGGGGTTATGGCATGGCCATCCCCACCCCCCTTCTCATGATGGTGGGGGGTCATTTCTCACTTTCCCTCTCTCTGTCTTTGGTGAGCACACACACCCTGTGGCAAAAAGCTAAAGAAGGAATAGAGCCTTGAATGATGGGCCATTAGCAGCTCAGAGGCTAGCAGGAAAGGCCAGCAGCCCACCCACAGTCCACAAGGCACATGCAGCAGAGGTCCAGCCAACACTGTCAGAAGGGGAGCAGAGAGGCTTCGTCTTACCTGAGCTGGACGTCTGCCTGCCCTGCCTTTTCGTTAAAGATGGTTTTTGCAGCAAGAGAATCTTTCTTGAGATAGTGAGAAAGCAAGCGACCAGGTCTAGGACTCAAAACATGGTCGGCCATGAGGGAGTCCAGTGCCCTCAGCCACCACACCTGCTGGCCCCACAGCAAGAGAACCTTTAGAAGTCAGACAAGTTCTGATAATAAGAATCAGCCACAGAACAACAACCAACCAGAAAGATATCGATCGAGCTAGTGAAGTAAGGCATTACTGGTGGAATCTGAGTGATGGGGATATGCCTATGTATGCTTTCAACTTTTCTGTATGTTTGAAATTTTCCAGAATAAAATGTTGAGGAAACAATGAGACAGCTTGGCAACAGCCTCTGGTCTGCAATCCTTCCCAGTTGCCTTCCAAGTCCCTGGGCATTTGCAATGGGCCCAAGACCAAATCCCTTCTTCAGCCTCTTTTGCTTCCAGCACACAGCAGCCTGGGTGAGCCGATGTGTGAGGACACACGTCCACCCCACGCCTTCTCACTAGAGACCACCGGGAGCCAGGAGGCCCCTCCAGGAGCCCTGGGTCTCCATGCTCCTATGCTCACCAGCCTTGCCTCCTCATCAGTAATGCCCTCCTTCCCATCCCAGTCTCACTGGGTGGGTGGACAGGGCAGTTCTGCCCCCGCTTCACTGGGTGACTCAACCAGTAGGTCATCTGAGCCAGAGGTGTCTCCCTCCCACGAACAGGAAAGGAATGCCCGTGGCCTCGCCTTCTTCCTCCTTTCTAAGTCTTTCATGGAGAGTGCATCTATCATGCACTCTGATATTCTCTGCTGTTTTCTACCCTGTTCTGTTTCATCTTTATAAATGCAGGCTATAACCATTAAATTAATCATCAGACCTACAACTTGTGACTCAGTTTGGAAAAGCACTGATTTTACAAATGAAAAAACACAGGCCTGTTTCTCCACCTCCTACTGCTGGCATTCCAGACAGACACTGCCCTGTTGGGGCACCAGCCTGTGCATGGCGAGTACGATTCGCAGCACCTGGCCTGTACCCACTAGCCACCAGTGGTGCCACCTCCAATTGTGACAACAAAAGTGTCTCCAGACATTGCCAAATGTGCTCTGGGGAAAAAATCACCCAAGTGAGACCTACTGGTATATATCATTAACCCGGGGCAGGCCCACACTCGTGTTTTCTGATCCCAATCTCCTTTTGCTACTTGGGCATTGGAGCACTCTGAATTCAGCTAGCTACCCTGCAGGGAGACATCTAAGTCGCCCTTCTATTTGATTTGATTTTCCCCTCTCTGCAGAACTCGGGGTGAGGGTGGAATCAAGTGTGGTATGGCCATTAGGAAAGCGAGCACCAGAACTTGCCCGTAAGCCCAGAAGGGATTCCCCCGCTCCGCAGACCTTCAGGTTAGCACCTCCTGTGACTGCCAGGAGGAAGGACTAGACACCCACCCCAAAAAGTCAGCCGCGTCCTCCCAAGGCTCCTATCGGACCTCTTAAACACTTGAGTTGAGGCACTGGTTGAGAGGGTAAGGCCCCCACCCCACATGTCAGAGAGAGAGACATCCTGACAGAGGCAGGGGGCAGCTGGAACCAGATGAAACTCACTCATCCGCAGTTCTGACAAACACCCCCGACACGCATGCCTGTATTTTGATGTAGGTGACCCTCCTTCCAAACTTAGAACTGGTGGTCTGGGCTGCCCACACATTACTGATGCCGGAAGGAGCGCTCACCCTGGGGAAGTGACTCAGCATGTTGGCGGCTATTTGAGGCTCTCTCTGAGCTGGTTTGGGGGCCAGACACTACAGCCATGGCCTGGGAAGAACCGTCTTTACAGGCAGGAAGACCCAGGACTCCTGACGGCTTTCTCTGGCTTCTGTGCTAGCCTGTAGGAGGCCTGCGGCCTAGACCTTGGACCCTGAAACCTACCCGGCCAGGAGCTGAGATCAGGGCGCAGGGCTCCCCTTTGCACCAGGTGGGCCTCCCTGTGGAGTAAACACTCTTCCCCGGATGTGAGCAGGTCCACAGGCCCCAGCGAGGAGAGTGGATTTGCGATTGTATCAAGGAAAACAGGATGTCACCGGGAACAATGGATCAGAGGTGCACATTGCCTGTGAGCCAAAACCCCAGGCTCTGAGTTCCGGGCTCCTTCCCCAACTCCATCCCTCTGGCCCCTCAAGCCCCTGATCACCAGGGCCAGCCCACCCTCCTCAGATGGTTCCTCTTCTCCCAGCACACCCCAAACAGCACCAGCAATGACAGAAAAAGCGGACACCCATACTCTGATGCTAGCAGTGCCATTTTGGGTGGGGATGAAACCAATCTCCATGCAAGTGTGCTTGAGCCACAGCGTCCCGGAAAACTGATGCTCGAAAAGAGCAAATCATTCTAAGAAAAGAACGGCCGCCCAGTGGAGAAGCCCACTGAGATGCTTTGGAGTAGAGAGGCCTTCCACAGCCCTTCAACTCCCCCCAGCTCCGCAGTGAAACCCCGAAAAGAGTAGCCAGAGCGGGTACCTGTGCAGGGTGTTTGTGCATGTGTGTGTGTGTGTGTGTGTGTGCGCGTGCACGCACGCACAAGTGTGAGAGAGAGTATGTGTGTGAGTGTGTGTGTGTGAGCAAGAGAGTATGTGTGTGAGAGTGTGTGTGTGTGAGAGAATGTGAGAGAGTGTGTGTGTG